TACTTAACCTTGGTCTCAGGGGACAAAACAGAAGACGTTTTCCAATTAGACTAACTATAATCACCAATATTTCTCACAGTGAAATTCTGCAGTTTACTTAGCAACGAAACAAAATTTCAAGTATTTTGAGCGGTATTTTTTAGGAAATCCATTAGATAAATCTATCCCTTCTAGAACGTCTTCAGTCTATTCCAAAGTAAACTGTTTGCATTTGTATATTTGTATTCCACATTTGTTCCTTATTTAAAAGGCACAATTATTCCGGTTAAATTGTTCGGGCCCAACGAATAATAGTTTGTCACAATACTGCAGTAAGGAAACTTTTCCAAGAATTTTCCATAGATATGATGGCGAAATCATTATTGAGAAATTTTGTGTTCAAGGATAGCATTAAAAGCCAAGAACAAGATCAGTATGAGATCCAAAGACTTGCCCTTTTGCATATAAAAAGAACACAAAAAAGATGTATGGATGAATGCTACTCTACAGTAGAGAAGAAATACATTGAATAAAACGACACTTAAAATAAAAACAAGGATTTTAGCGTACCTTCGTAGCCCAAGCCATTTCAATTGCAGCATCATTTGCATATTTGCTTGCATCTCCGTAGTCAATTTCATCCATAACTGCAATTTTGGCAATTTTTGAACTTTCGTACTATAATTTCGCCCATTAACAAAGTGACAAAAACAAGTCGAAATAATGTCCTCTATATGATACATTTTAATGAACGAATGAAATAAGCAAAACATGCAGCAAATTCGAAATGGTGAATTAGTCGTCAATCGCTGACATCTTGGCCGCGTTTGAACAAATTTACCGTGCTGCACCGTACTTGATATTCGCTACCAACTTCCAAACTGCTCAATTGTCACTGATTTGTATTTTAACCAATCACAAGAGAGTATACTCTCTCTTGATAGCTTTGAGGCCATCTTACGGTTATAATATATCCAGGAAAGACCTTAGACTTATTTGTTATCATTCAACCATCTCTCCATTAGAGTTATTGGGTGCGCTATAAAGTTGAATCTTCACGACTTCAACTTATTTGATCTCTTGTGCTGCTTTGATCAAATCTACAAATCGTCGCTGAGTAATACTTTCGCTTCTACTAACTATAAGATTTCACGGTAAGATTATTCACTAGCTGCACGTGCGCCCCAGCTGATAGAATTTTGCAAACGTATACTGCAATACTGTTACAGATGCTAATTGTGAGGACGTTTTTTCATAGATCTTAACGAATGCATTCTGGCTTTTCTTTTCGCGCATTTGAAGCGAAATGAAAGCCAGAATGCATTAGTTAAGATCTATGACAGAATGTCCTACAACATTGAGCATCTGTAACAGTATTTGCAAAATCCTATCAGCTGGGCCGTATGTGCTGCTAGTGATCAATCTTACCGTGAAGTCTTATAGTTAGTAGAAGTGAAAGTATCATTTAGTGACAGTTTGTAGACTTGATCAAAGCAGCACAACAGATCAAATAGGTTGAAGTTCTGAAGATTCAACTTTTTAGCGCTCCACATAACTTTATATGGAGAGATGGTGGATGAATAACAAACCAGCGGTCTTTCTTGGATACATTGCATAACCGTAAGTTTGCCTTTATCTATGAAGAGAAAGTATACTTTTGTGTCTGGTTGAAATTCAAATTAGCGACAATTTCGGGCAGTGTGCTAGAGTAAGTGATACCGAATATCAAGTAAGGTGCAGCACGGTAATTTTGTTGAAACGCGATCATTTCACCATTTCGAATTTGCTGCATTTTGTTGAGTTTGCTTATTTCATTTGTTCATCAAGATGTATCATATATTCTTATTTTTGCGTAATACATCATTTCGACTTATCTTTGCATTTCACGTTGTTTGTGTGTAAGATTATAGTGCAAGTTAAAAAAACTATTAGAGTGCAGTCATGGATGAAATTGACTACGGATATGAAGCAAGTAAGCAAATGATACT